GCCATAGCAGTGGAGATAGCACTGAGGCTTAACCACTAGGGAGGCCCAAAAAGCAAAATTCCTTTTAGGAGAGTTTGCAGTTATCAAAAACATGTACACACGTAAAGTATAATAACCTGAACTTTTGAAAAGTGAGCGGTACCTATACCCGCCTTCCCTGGGTGATTAGCGTCAAGAATGTCAGCCGTTCAGGTTAAACACTGCTCCCCACCCCCCACCCCGCCCCTGCTCCATAGCTGAACAACCTTACTCTGCGATCTTAAAACATTACTAGAATACAACAAAATGAAGATATGGTTACATTCTAATAACGGTAATGATAACTTTCCTAAAGAAAGCAGTATGCATTCTCGCTGGATTCTTAATGAGCCTGATACTAGTATTCCCATTTTACAGGTGAAAGAGCTATATCTTCCCATTAAAGTTCTGCTTAAATTCTCCCTAGAGAACATCCAGGAATCTAGTTCTAATTGTGGAATCACAGAATCACCAGAATGGCTGTACTAGATTCTAGATTCTTTCTCCCTTTCTTCTCTCTCTGTTTTACTTGTAGAGACCTTAAGGGCGGTAAACTATGGCACGTGTGTCCTTACTGGACGAAGAATTAGGAAGTGAAACTCACTTTTCTGCTTCAGCCTTCTCTCTCAGGCCTTCCTTCCTACAGACGGAGGTTTCGGGTCTCGCCGTCATGAAGGATTGTGTTAACCTCTTGTCCCTGGGTAAGCGCGTTCTGCCTGCCCGTTTTCCCTTGGGCTTTCCTTTCCAGAGAGACCTACAGCAAGAGGCTAGAGTGAAGCAATTATGAGCAGACTGAATTTTAACTGACATGAAACTTCATCTCCTAAAACATTTGGAAAAACCACAATTTTTCCAAATCCCTGGCCCTCTTTCTCTCAGAAACACATATTTCTTTTTGTTTCCCTTCAAACACAAATTGACAAAGCATGTAACTGTTTATTGCTTAAACATGTCCTGTCCTAAACAGCACTTTGATTGCTGAACAACTGTTGCTGAGTCTCAGTTGTTTATTCATTGAAACGAAGAAGCAAAAAGCAAAGAACGGGGCTGATCCAGAAATTCAATAAACAAATTTATAAGTGATCACAGCCAACTGTGGAATTATGCTGGTAACTGACCTTGAAATAATTTTTCAGTTCTGGTTCCAAAGAGAAATCTTTCAAATTAAGTTTCATTCATGTTAACTTTTATATTAGGAGATCTGCACAGAAAGCCAAGCAGAGCCCTCCCTGGTGGCACAGCAGGTTAAAGCGCAGCACTGAGAAGCTAAAGCCACTTC